AAGATCTCACGTGAGACATACTGAGCTCTTAACGTTTTACCTGACGTTATCTGTGAAAATATCCTGTATCTGTTTGTACTCATGTAATCATGTACGAGTCGTATTCCTGTAACTATCTATATTCGTGTTGTCTACGACTCGTAAACTTGTACTAGTATTAGTCGCTCCTGACAGTTGCTGTTTGCGATATTGGAACTAATCATGTTATTACTTCATACTTAGGACTATTTGACACATTAAGCTTGCACAATAGTATGGGGAGATTATATTGTCTGTACGTGGGTGATCGGATGAAGGACGGATGGACTTGTATTTAAAGAGAGATGGAATACTTCATAAGGATCAATCAATCACATTTCTTTACTCTGAGATAAACTTCTTAGTCCCGAATTATCAACACCTTAGCTCGTGCAGAGATCACGACCAGGCTTTAGGAGCAGGACTACTTCCGCTAACTGAAACTCTTTTTGGAAGTAGTTTATTCTCAGCAAGCCCTTGTGGAGCAGTCTCACTGCGTATTCTAATACCAGCTACGCAACTCTAAGTAGCCGTACAGTAAATGCGCTTGCTCTTGGGGATTTATTCTGGAAAGCTGTCGTGACCCAAATGGCCTCCTTACCGAAGACGTTGGAAGCCAATCATAGGTTGACTTCACATGGCCCGTGCTCCTCTATAATAATAATAATTATTCATTATCCTGATTTGGCGCCTTGAGGCCCATGCAGGTTTTTATCGGAAGATATGTACTTTAAGTAGGATGACTCAATTTGACGTTTAGAACACTCACGCTCAGATTTCATTTGCAGATACCACTCGAGATTGACCCTTACGGCGTATAACCTCTTCCGTGCATACCCACCACAGGGAAAAGCGAGAAAAACCTGTGGCTATCCAAGTGTGCTTTCATCATCCCACAAGTACAACATCACCGCGAGAGAGAGTGGTGTGTGAGTCTGACTGGATTCGAACCAGCTTTCTCCTGTCTCGAATGGGGTAGGTGTTCAAGCTACCCAGTATCTACTTGGGAGAACGGCCCGGATGGCGTACCACTGCACCATCTAACCCTGCTCCTCTATATAGAATTCATTTATACTGGTAATCCTTCAAAGGAGCACGTCTCGCAGTATGCACGCTTTCCTACTAGGGTCTGACACAAAACTTTCGCGATTTTGAGGTCGATGATTTGCCCAACGAGCGATTTGGCCAGTTTCAGCGTCCGTTAAGGCCTCGGAGAACTTGCGACGCCAGTACTAGCGCTTCGCTTTTTTACTGTCCGGCGAAACCTTCTTACTAATATCGTCCCGAAAGATCTAATACTGACTTTTTGCGTCGAAGCAGTACTCCGTCAATCAGGGCGCTATCCTACCCTTCTTTACGCTTCAACTTCTTCCAGTGGCTCTGATTGCGCTATTGATTGCCTGGACTAGGGCGTCGGCAATCAAGTCCACATCAGATATGAATATCACTGGCCGTATCCTGATTCCGTCGTCCCACCTTTCCACAAGATTGTTGAAGTCTTTGGTGGTGCTATCACTCACCCTGAACAGTTTCCTGATCTTAATTGTAACACTTCTTTGGGAATATGGACGAGGAACATCCCCGGCCAGAGTCCTGTGGTCTAATGTCTTGTATAGTTCTTTCGATATATCAATCAGAGCTCCAGTGTTGGACTAAACTAGGTCGAGCATGTTGCCTCTGCTGTTAGTTAGCAAGCCTGGTCTAGAATACAGATAAATTCTATTTTCAATCATTCAATCTATAAAAAGCTTGCCACCGCCGTGGAGTTTGGTGGCCATTCTTTGCCAGTAAAGGTGTTCAGTTTTGTAATCTCTACTGGTTACTTTAGGCCCATTGTCAGGCGCAGGTTCACTAGGCGCAAGACTCGAGGCGTAGGAGAGGGCGTAGCGTACGATGTACTGAGGAAGGACGCCTCGTGGGAACGGGGAGTCGTTCTAGATAAAGGGGCCAGAGGTGACGGTAGGTCACTATAGTTGGCAGAGGACGAGAGTGAGACGTGATTAGAATAATGTAACTATTCCTAAAGACAGAAAACAAAGCGTGAAAATCTCAGTTTAGGGAAAGGAAAATACATAACTATCCTCGCTAAGCAATAAAGACTAGTGGGATTAAACAAGGAACCCATAAATCCTGCCTGAGGCATTTATCAAGAATCCTTACACCCATTCAGTTTCCATGCTGGCTGAGATAAAATATCTCTTACATGGGCACGATAGATCGAGAAAAATGTAACTCTCTATGAAGAGATAGAGGTGAAGTCGGATAATACGCCTAAATTTAAGTGTGCGTGACTCCTTTTCCATTAACGAGTATAGATTGCAGAACGTGGCATGACTGAGTTAGGAGTGCCGCTGGGGGGCAAGTACTTATCGAAGCGAGAATGCGACTTGGCGAGCTAGATGCCAGCTTGAGGCTCAGCCCAGGGTTCCCGAATCCCAAGCGGATTTAAGGATAATAGCCGTTATGGGGTCTCCTATGTCCAACTTAACGCAAAGGAACTAGATCGCTGCTGTTAGTGTGTGAATCTCAGCGGTAATTGAGGGTGTTTGAAGGTTTGTCTTTGGTAGTTGCTGTTGGAATTTGTGATGTCAGTTAGACAATGCTACGGCGAAAGCCAGCAGCAGGCATGTATTCTGACAACCTGTATCAAGAGTCTGATAATTTATACACTATATCCTCTCTTAATGTAATAGCTGGTGTTATAATACACATCTTGATCTAACCAGTTATCAAGAGTTGTAGAAGTGTAGTGACACATTATGTTTAATTTAGCATTAAGTGAAGAACTCAATTAGAATGAGACGTACCTGGTTAGTCATATCAAAGTAAGAGAACTTCATTTTACTCACACGCTTACATGGACCACATTGTTTTAGCAATGATAGGTTTTTACTACTTTCCTATTCATCTATCAACTCAAGTCCCAAATCCTCAATATCAATATCTCACAGGATCTAAAAACTGTTGTATTTTACACGGAAACAAGTGTTCAGATTTCTGGGATCCAAATACACTAGTCAAGGTGACTTATCGACTGAAAGGAGCACCAAAAGATGAGGAAAAATGGCCTTACTCGAGATTTAGCACTTACCAGCCTCCCGATCGAGGCACTTCAACGCGAATTGATACGAAACAGCATCGTATTCAACTCGATTCTATGTACGGTTCTACCCTGATCGCCCTGACCACATATCAAGCAGTGCTTCAACCGCGGCCGATGGGAGCAAACCCAAGCCTCCTGCAGTAAGGCTAGAAGATGTGGTGAGTGCTCGCACACTCACCAAACCAGAGACTGCCGAAAAAAATCGGTACTCTGTTGTAACTGCGACAAGGCCCATAAGTCGTGGCATAGGGGCGTTTCCAGACTCTGCAGCATAGAAGTCTAGCGTCCAAAGGGCATGGTGAACACTTTTATAGAAAACGGCAACATTCAGGGGAGAGAATATTCTACCAGCGGCAGTAACACTAACAACAGTAGCTTAAGCTCCAGTAGGAGTGCAACGGGAATCACTATACCTAGCACTTAAATGAACAAGACAAGACAAGACTAACAACAATAGCAAAACCAACAGACAACCAATTATTTACGATAGTATCCCACCAAAATGCAAAGGGACCCAAGAGAAAGTCCAGACGCAAAAGCAGATAGTTTCTAGCCATAGGCCCACTACCTCCACCAACAGTACTATCGGGATCAAGCTTCAGACTACGGTAATTCCAGTTCGGCACGTGAAGGAAGGGAAATATAACGAGATTTACTACATCTAGTTCTGTCTCGAACCAATTACCAATTGCACTTCCTGTAGGTCAAATGAAGAACCGTATATTAAATTTTGAAGGAGAAATGGGTTCGACAGCAAGGTTCCCCACTCAAGTAAATGTAAAGATAGGTTCATAGCCGCCTGCATGGCCCTACAGGGCGCCAGATCAGGTTGAATGAAATTAAAATGAACCCAATTTGAAACAATAACGTTAGCGCCAGCGATAGTGGTAGTAATACATACAGAAGGAAAACTGTCCACTTCTAGAGCTAGTTAAAAATCTGGGAAAAGAAGGGCGAGACATTATCTAAGCCAGCCGCAAGTGCCTAAATGGTATGTGATTGGCTGCTACGTAAATGCTAGCTTGGACGATGAGTAATCAATCTGAAATGAACAGATGTGTTGTTAGGCATGAGGCTAAAAAAAGGCCCGGTTCCTACGCTATGTTGACAAAGCATTGCACTAAAAATGGTTGCGGGTGGCATCCAGGGGCGGCCAGACAGCGGCGTTAATCCGCTTTAACACCAGGGAACTATTTCTTAAATCTGAGCGTCTTAATTAAAGAGGTATGAGGGATGACTTGATCTTTGAACACTCCAGGGCCTGCCGGTAGATGTTTTGAGGCAATGTCTAACGTCCGGGGCCGACACCTCCTTGACATTTTCAGCGCGCGCCACGCGTCAAGCTCGAACAGGCACCCAAAACGCCCGATCGTTGGCGCATCATGCCCGATTGGAATATTTGATTTGCAGATTCAGACGACGAGCGAAGGGCTTCTCAGTGCAAGTGACATTGTAACTCAGTCGATATTCAGGGTTATCAGGCGTATGTCACGGAATAGGAAGCTCTTTGGAGAGAGATGCCGCCAAGACATATCTGCGAGAGGATGATATTGAGATTAGATTTCCATATATCACGTGTAAATCTTGACAATGGACCGGGGAGAGGATCACTCCCTCTCCAAAATCGCTCGCGGGTCCGCCAAGGCTACTTTGCATTCAACTTGTGAAAGATCCACTAAAAAGAGCAGGGATTATCAGTGGAAGATTATCTGTCTCGAGATCCTCGAACATCTTCACGAACATACTAAGTACTCTCATGACACTAGATATTCACGACTCAGCTGCCCATGACATCTCAACTGATGAGAACAGGAATTTTTCTCACCGCCATCTCTGTTCCGAACTAGACCTGGCAAGATTGAAGACGCCTTCGTGACAAATGTATGCTATGCGGCAGAAATGTCGTCCAAAGCATCAAGTCCTGATTTTAAATTGCTACCCAAGAACCACAAAAGGCGCAGTCGATGTCAAACCTAATTCAAGTGAACTCAGCTATCTACTATACTATGCGACTACGCGGCGAAGCAAGGTACAAAAGGTCGGCGCATTCCTGGAAAAGAAAACCACTAGTGATGTATACAGGGCGAGAATAGGGTATAACAGAAACTCTCTGTCAATCTGAGAATCAGGGCTAACACTCATGTAAGGAACGTGCAAGTGACCCTTCAGATTTTGACTGCATTGATTGAAAAAGCACCTAGAGATTTACCTCTATTCGCACCATATGTCCTTCAACTTCTCAATATTATCCTGCGGGCGCATGATATTACAATGGTCGAGTCTTCACTCCCGACTTTTGATTCATTTTGCCAACATCATGATGAGGCATTAATTTCCGCGGATCAAGAATATCTACGTCAATATGAAGAGATAATTAGTCTGTACGCATCTTTCGCATCGACTGGAAGGTCTCCGATCAAATTTGACATGAGTGCGCCGATGAGACTGCGATGGAGAAGTGTCGGACTACAAGCTATCAAAAGTATCGTTTCATCGGAAGCCCCAGCAACTGTTGCGACAAGGCAATTGGATTTAATAGTTCCTACTCTTTTAGAGAATATATGGTCCGACCAACCAGAATTCTTAGATTTGCTAGAACAAAGGATTCAACAAGAAGAGTGTATTGATGAGCAGCGCTTGTCGCGTCAACGAACCAGCGTTGTTACAGTGCCGTGCATCGAAAATCCGATAGATGGAAAGACTGTACTCTCTAGTACTACAGCGGACGCTGATAAGCTCGCTGAGATTGATATAGGGGTGCTTGCAATACAATGCTTGAAGCTAATTTTCGTGGTCAATAATAAGTCCCAGATACATGGAGCGACACTTGCCACACTTCAATTTATTTTAGATTGTGTTGAGCAAAAACGAAAAGTAACATTCTCAGCAGTTCGTGCAATACGTATATTCCAAATGACCACCAGCTGGGCTCCAGTTCAAGATCGTTATATTATTCTGGTTGCTGCTATGGATAAACTGATACAAAGCCCTGCAAACGGAGAGAATATTGAACATGAGCTCATTCTTGCAAAAATGGTAGATTCTTTGCTCAAATCTGACATTAATTTAATCGGACTTAGTGTTATGGATGTTCTATTAGGCTTAATACACCATGTTCTCCGAATCCTTCAGCTAGGAAGGAGGTCAAATCATCAGGCTAGCGCCTCAGTAGAAAGTCACTCACGCTCTAATGCTTCCACTAAGACACTCGCAGAGGATTCAAAAAAAACTTCATCGCTACGTAAAAAACTCTTGGACAAACTTCAAGATTGCATTGGTAATCTTGCCACTCATATTTATTATGCCGATCAAATTTCAGATATGGTTTCTGCCCTAATATTTCGACTCAAGCCTGGCTCTACTCCCGGTATCAACCCTTTGATTCAGGCTGGAGATAACCCAATATGCGTTACAACCAAAGCGTCCTTAATAAGTGAAGAATCACCTGATTTACACTCCGATGTTACGTTTTTCTACGATATCGCTAAACTCAAGGCTCTTGAAGCTATAAATTCCATTCTCATCGTGGCAGGCCATCGGAAAAGTATGATTGGCGGTGCCAGTCACGCTCGAAATGGTGTGTCAATTCAAGTTTGGGAAGGAACGCAATGGCTGCTTCGTGATAGTGACTGGAAAGTTCGAAAAGCTTATGTAGCAACTCTACAGACTTGGATGAAGTACGAAATGACAAATGCCGATCTCCTTGCCTCTTGGCCTAATAAAGATGGGTTTGTATTGCAATCCGGCAAAAGAGTCATTTCGAATGCAACTCAAAAAGAGAAGACAGCTCCCAAGCTACCTACCAAAAGTAACTTTCTAGAACTACTACACGTTGCTATTTATGAAAACGCACTGAGGCATGTCAGCAATGAAGACGATATCATTCTATTACACAGTCTTCTCACCAGTCTAGTAGAAAAACTAGGTGTGAATGCTGTTAAGGATGGGTTACCAATGATTTTTTGTTTACATGCAGATATACCGGGGCTTGAGACGTCGCTCTCTAAAATTCACATCGATAGCCTATGCTATGGATATCTATGGACTATTTGCGAGAAATTTAAGCTAGCACCCTCGCCGGTAGAACAAACTATTCGCAACGAGATAAAACAACGTCAGGAGAAAATGCAATGGGTTCCAAAAGTCTCGTATCCTCCCATTGATCTAGAACAGATCCGCAACCCGCAACATTCACTTTCCATACAGCCATCTCATTTGGAGAAGGTAAACTCAGCGAGATTCCATCCTTTTATTGATCGTTTACCAATAGTTGAATTAATATCATCATCTTATATCGATTCTATAAGCTCACAGTCAATAAATTCTGCAACTTTGATAAACCGCAATCCTAATCAAGCTACACTGAGCCAGCCCAGATCTGAAGAAGATACCTCGTTACCTCAAAAGATTATAGATAAAATGATGTCTCAATGGAGTCGCGAAGCTGTGATAGCCGCCACAAGTGGTGGTAGCAAGGCAGCATCAATAAATGGCTCTAAGCAGGCTAACAACACCTCAAGACCAAAAAATTTCCTCAGCATAAACGAAGCCAGTAGAGCAGAATCATTATTAGATCGCCACACTTATCGGTCCCCTCAGCGACTGACGAGTCGGCCTGGGTCAAATTGCGGACAAACTAACGGCCTTGTAGCATTACCTAAGACACGACACAATAGCAGACAATCACTTTCAAATCCAAGTGATTCCAGCCATGGCTCCATCCGGAAATTTGATCAATTAAAGAAAGTTTTAATGCGTTTTGAATCAGGTCCTGCTGAAAATCAAATAACGGGAAACCGAATATCAAGTAGTGCTAGTAGCGAAAGTATGATTAGCTATGCCTATACAGCATCTGAGATATCTTTCAGTCCTAGCCAACAAAATATATCGCCCATAAAACGAATAGTCTCTAGACACGAACCCAGTAGTAGAAAAGCTCGATCGAAATCACGAGATGGCACGAGTCGGCGAGCTCGACATCTACCGTTTAATCTTTTTTCAACCAACACTGGAAAAAATACTCCCGATAATATCATAGAAAATTTAGATTCTAATTCTGGTATGAAAACAGCCACTCAACCACGCTTCAATGAAAGCACAACCATACAGGATCACATATCTTTTGACGCTAGTAATGCACATAATATACAGGACAAATTTTTGATCAGTGGTACACTTTACCCGGGCTGGGCTGCTGAGGGAGACTTCTCGACTGATTTAGAAAATTTCCTCCACGAAATCGATATAGAGACCAAGGAAATAACCGGAAATGTGGGAAACTCACCTTGCTAAGAACCAAGAGAAAGCTACTTAGTTAGAAATTAACACTAAGCGTGTAAAATGAGGCTAGTTGGCCTTCTACAATGATGCAGTAAATGATGAACTGGGAAGCATGGCGTACGGCGTTTAGCGTAGGGTATAGTAAGGTGCTGCATGACATCCAATTTTTATTTTTTTATTTGCAGGGAGTAACACATCTGCTTATGAGCTGAGCAAAAGGATACCCGTCTAAAATTCGGGTAGCACATTAATCCCTACATAATAATCCTTGAATACAAGAAATTATAATCATCTCCTTCGAATAAATATCATGATAGTTTCTTGCGAATATAGGTAAGTTGGCTATCTTTTACGCATTTAAATGAATCCTAAAAGATTAGTTGATTGATTTGAAGTTTATTCTATTACTTCAGTCGATGAATATCCAGCTTATTGTGCTCCCCTCTGACCCAAGCCATATTTTGTAAAGTTACTCTATCCCCTTTTGTTTCGAAAGGATATCTCTGAAGTAAGACCCGTTTAGCCCAGTAACTACTAGTAAAATTCAACCTCCTTTTCAGCGGATCTCTCTACTTACGAACAACTAGAAAGTAACAATAGGAATGAGATGCCTGGGAGGGATTCTCAAATATCTACAGCCCTTGCGAGTAGAGGGACGGATACAGGGACAACACAAAATGTTGATATGAATCTATGTCTCCCATCCTTGTAACATCAGAGGCTAAATTGATCCAATTCACTACCGGCGTATCGGGCGCTGGGTATATTCTGGGAATCCTTTAAATGCCTAATTCTCCATGACTAACTAAGAAGGTGAGTGGATGACATGTAGGGCTTCTACCCTTCCATCTAGCTTGATGGTTAGCTTCATGATAAGGGTGGTAGAAGGGTTGCGTTCGAAGATTAAGACTATACAGGCCTCGAGACTGTTTTGGAAGTCTCGTCGAAATTTGGACATTAGTATCGCGGAATATATTGACGATGGTAGACACCAGAGAAAGCCTAAAAGTAAAGTGAGTTAACTATCCTTATCTACAGAAAAAATATAAAAGCATTCTCCTTTCTACACTTATTTTAAAAACATATATCGCTAAGAAGGCATACAGGATAATCCCGGCCCTTCGATTTATTGAGTCTTTTTTGGCCCGATGTAGAACTCGTACTCGTCATCAGGATGGAATAGGGTGCGACAAAATCGTCGAGTGCGGTGTCCCCTAGGGCTCACCACTCTCGTCACTCCTTTTCCTCATTAGTATTACCGTTTTATTTCAAGACGGGAAAGGAAAAAGATTCGGATATACTGACGATATCACCATCCTCAGCATAGGATGCACTGCCGCCGAAGCTGTCTCATCGGCCCAAGGAGAAGTAGAAAGACCTTTCCAACTGGCAGAAGAGCACAAGATCAACTTTGACTCGGCCAAGTCAGAGCTTTTAATAATGGTTGGTGGGCCAAGAAAAAAATCAGACACTTCAGGTCTCACAGTTAAAGTGAATGGTCTCAATGTCTCCCTATCCCCACATATAAGATGGTTAGGAGTATGACTTGATTCGGAGCTGAAAGTTAAGCAGCATGTGCAAAAATGGTGCGGAAAAGCACAACGTGTAATATAGTTTATACGTCGCATTAGCATTGTTTAGCGCGGCGTAGCACCGGGACCAATGATTAAATCTATCCACGCCTCTGCACTCAGTATGGCACCGTAAAGAGTGGAGGCATGGTGGCTAGGTCTAGCCCGTACTACCAGTCGGCGAGACAAAAGAGCTGGCACAGGCGTTGGCTGGCACACTGATCTACCGGAAAAAAATATCGTTAATGTAGTTAGAGTAGCACTACTTGCGTGGCATTTAACCCTAAATTTGGCTCTTTGAAGGGATTTAGGCGTTTCAACGGCAGGAATACTTCTCGACTAGAGCCAAATTTGGTTACCAGCGTGCATTCAATGACTGGACATGTGGCACCTTCTAGCACTGAGATCTAGGGAAGTACCAAAAGATGTGATGAGGCATGTCGAACTACGAACAGGCCAGAAAGCCCGACCTATCACTGCTCCAGAACAATGCTCTAAATATACCGATCGCTGAAGATCGTGGAAAACTTCTATACCCGAAAACAAACCCGGTCAGGCTCCTACCAGGTCTCGATAAAGAAAATGAATCGGATTATGCAAAGGCACGGATGGAAGATCTGTTGCCGCAGACTATATGTGCCTACTTAGATGGCTCATCAAGCGGCTCAGCTAGATCTGCATGGGGATACGCCGTATACAAAGGAAACAGGCTGATTGGAAGCGATGCTAGTATGATTCTAAGAGCAGAATTGTACGGCACAGAACTGTTAGGCGATCACAAAGCCTTGGAAGCAGCTGTAATATTGGCAGCAGAGTTTCCCATTATGATACTCCTCGATAACTCTGAAGCTGTTCACTCCCTCAGAACAGGCCGAAGCAAGTCGTCTTAAGCCACAGTCGACCAATTTATAACTCTATCCCGCATTAATGGGTTAGTAGAGATACGATGGATTTCAGGCCACTCCGGCATTCTTGGGAACTGTTGGTAAAACACGAAGTAATACAAATTGGGTGCCGTCACGAAGTCAGCTGTCTGTCACGAAGTTGGCGAATAATGTCAGTTAACTAGTATCTCGAAATACATAATACGTTCTCTCTTGCTTTTCCCTCTCCATCTCCCCTTCCTTCCTCTACTCCAAGCGCCTCGCTAATGAGCTAAACCAGGCCTCTGTTAGTGTCCTAACGACAACCTGAATACCGCAAATACATAGAACAATCCACACTACCCAAATATGATCCTTTTACCGACAGGAACATCCATGCCGATAAAATGGCTAACTCAGCTCCGAAAGATGCTCAAGTTTTCACAAATGCATTGGTTATCTCGAGTTTAAACTAAGGACAAAGGTTCACTTTTGCAGCGCTAAACCGATACGTCAGAGACCGGTTTGGTTTGGTTTGTTCATTAAAGTGCTAGGTAAAGTGACTACCGTTGCACTCCTACTGGAGCTTAAGCACGGGTAGGACCGGGCTGGATCAGGTTAACTACCATTAAGTACATCTACCTCGTCCCACCTAAATGACCGGACCACCTCAGACTTCACCCATGTGTTGAATCATGTCAAGCCCAGCCGTCCAGAGAACCCCCTTTTGGCGCGCCCAAGCGCAAATTCCTCCTCAGGCTCGGCCACCACGCGCCCGAGCCCTTGACACCTTCGCCGTCTGTAACTTTTCCCTTCGATTGATTCCCAGCTTTGGCTCACCTCAGCATCTTCTCATCTCATCGAGGGGTCGTTTTCTTCACTGGAGGCCTCATTCAGTCGCCCACCAAGGCCTCCTCAGTTTGTATTCCCTTTTAGTTCCTTCATTTAGTATCCATCTGTCCTTCAGCCGATCTCGCCATCACAGAAACTTTGTAGAATGTCCACCCATCCGGCCTTGCCCCGTCACTGCCGTACCCCTAACCGTGGAGGTCGAAAACGCGACTGAGAGCTCAAGACCGAGGCACCGGTGCTCCAGCCTTTGTCGAATGCTCTAGTTAGTGTGCCGGTGAAATGTCGTACGTATTTAGTCGGTGGCGATTCGTCGCAGGTCGATTTTCTAGTGCCCTTGGCCGAGGTGAGGACGCATTTAAGGCCGGTATTTCGACCGTACCTTCACAGCGACTGGCATTTGTAGAGGATCGGACATCCTCTCGTTTCTTTGTTGGCGATTTAACTTTTGGAGGTATGAGATGGCTTTGGTAGGTGGTGAGATGATTTTGGAGAGGGCCGCGAGATAAGTTTGGCTGGGTATAATCTTCCAGAGAAAAAGAAAATAAGATCAAGAAGGTGTCGGTTTTTATGATACGAATATCAGACAGGTTTTAGCCTGTGCGGTTTGTATCTGGGGTGTAGATGGTTGATTTCGTTGAGTTGTGCAGTCGTGAAATCTCTGCGAGTCAGATTTTTGACCAAAAATGAGCAAGCACCACTCCTCCCGATCGCCAACTCGACGAAAACTCTCAAATTTACCCTTTGTCGCGACTGAATCTCGGTTCTGGGAGAATATTTTACTCCCAGGTTCGTAGAGGACTACGTCAGAGACCGGGGTGAGGAGGCTGTCGAATCTTGGCGGCGAGAAAATAGACCTAGTCGGTACAAAGACCTGGAATCATAGATGAAACAAAAACAACCACCAGAGCTAGCTCCCCCAAGATGGGCGTATCATCGTCTGAAAGCGGCTGGTACTGATCACGGAAGCCTCTTCAAGTATCATGAAAGGTTTCACCACGAAGGAATATATTATAGGTTCAAATGTGGGCGATAAGGACTTCGGGGGCACTGCTCAGAATGCCGGACAACGCTAAAACAATGGCGAGAAACAAGAAACAAAATAGCGCCAAGTATATGGACGTTGTTGGGAGAAAAGGGATGGGAAGCATTTTATCGATTCCTTACCGTGACGAGATGTTACGGGGAGCAAAGCTATACTGGAATTACTGAGGTTTTCTAAATTACAAGTGTTACAGGCAAGCTATTATGAGAAAGCTGAGTCGGCGTAGGGCGTCGAGTCAGAGCAGAAAGAGTCTTCCTTTGTATTTTTGGTTTTCATTAATGTAAATTTCTGGCTATGTGAAGCTAGCTTCAGTGATGGTTGTAGGCCCTTCGGCAACACGCACCTGTGTCTGGCCTCCTAGGTGTAGGGCTTTAGCCTGATACGTATAATTACTCAAATCAAATCGAAATCACATCTTTTGAGGCAGATCGACTTCCTACCTTAGCACTCTTCACTGCAGGGTGACTATTCTCAACACCTGTCAGTGGTGTCCCCTACGAACCTCCAGCTCTCACTGTAGAGTCTGCAGAGCCGAGATTGAGTAACACCTTATCAACTTTGAGCTGAGTTATCTCCCCCTCTGTCAAAGATACGCTTCCGATAACACATAAGACGACCAAGACCATGATGGTGATGCTGGAAATGAGGAAAGATAATGCGGTACCAAACGCTACAACGGTAGTCAGAGAAGCGCTCGTTATATTACAATTTGTGCTACCCACCGGCGGGCGAACAAAAAGCCCACGAAAGCAAAGTAAAAGACCCTTCCGCCCTCAAGAAATGCAGATTTCGACTCGTCCATAATATTGTCCCTACTAATCCATACTTCCGAATCTACTAGAAAGGAGGGCATCTGAAATACATGAGTTACTCGACAACCCCACGTCCGTAACGACTTCTGGATGCTATGCTAGGCTCCCCGTTGGAAATATCACGCAATGAAATGGGCGCAATATTCGTGGAACGAAAGTAGAAGTTGACTAAAAGAGTGTCATGTTCGGATTAAAGCTAAAAGTGTGGGAGATGTGCGCTACAAGTAAAAGTGTAAGCGACACAGAGCCTAAGCCACAGCATAAACGAGTGTGGCGCCATATAGGCATAGAAACCCCCCAATAACTTCCTTGCGTCCACGCCATATAGCCGCTCATGTCTCCATTAGGTAGCCTGAAGCGCTACCATATTACCTATTCCAACCTCTTACATACACACAAGATCGTGTCGGGAACCTAGATGAAATGGAGGGCCCGTACGTCCACAACACTCCGTGTCTCCATTTCCAACACTCCCTCACGACAGTCACTCTCGACCAAGATTTTTCTGACATTCTTTCACGACCTTCGGTTTGTCCTGCGGCATGAATCAAGGGAGGCGTAAGGAGGAGGCTAGGAAGGTTGAGAGACGCTCTTAGCTATACGCAGGTCTGCTGCGCCCGGCTGGCCGGCCTCTTCGTCATGGGAGAGCCCCGCACCCAGTGGTTTTTGAGACTTTTCCCTGCAGCTACACACCCGCAAATGGCCATTGTTTCGTTGGCTGGAGAGGGGAGATAATGACGGGATAACGGCTCCTCTTAGTGTGTACTCGAATGAAGATCTGTGGGGGTATTACTGCTGGAAAGAAGTGGTGAGGGAGGCAAAGGAGGGAGTACATTGACCGAGGCATAGATACTCCCGGCATGTAGGCAGAAAGGACCTACATGTGCTTACATAGTTATAGACTTTTTAAGATAATAAACAACCACTCACTCTTCACTGCAGCCTTAGCCTGAACCACTGCATTAGATCATCTTTTACTAGCTTGTTGGATTATGACAATTCGTTCCCTTGTCACTGGGATAGCTCGGGTTGGTCGATCTAAATAGTCACAACTGACCGAACGGTGGGGACCGCCACAATTGCGACAATTTGTGGCGGCTTTGCAGTCCGCAGCGGTATACATAGTTTGTCTGTATTTCCAGAATTCTGGAGATAGGAAGCAGGCACGAGTGAGGCGGTGGCTGAGGCTGCACCAACACTGCTCAATTCTGCATCGAGGCTTTAGGTTTGTGGCTAAACCTGACTCATCAATAATGCTGAAGCTCTAGCGAGGGATGGACTCCCGAGGAAAAAGGGCATACTAATTGCCATACGGCGCACCGAGAAGGTACGTCCTATGAGAGCGCACTTGGAGTGGTCACTTGCCATTCACTCGAGAGATTTCTAAAGAGACACCATTGGCACCAATTGGTTTTGGGCCGCGCAGTGTGTTCATCTTTATTAGTATATTTGCGATCTTAAGAGCAACCAAGTTCGAGTACTGCTCGAGTTTGGTGTTTATATTCGCCAAACTCGAAGAGGAGTTCAGGAAGCCTTATCTGTTATTCTGGTTTTCCTGAATTGTAAATCTAGTTCTCGGTCGATTGATCGAGATGATGTCTATCAATACACAGCTGAACTGCTGCGTCACTGCCCATCAGATGACTACTGGGGATAATCGGTGCTATTTGTGGTCGAGCTCTAGTCGTAAGAATAGTCGTTTATCGACTATTGATTTCGGAGCGTAGATCTTTGATTGTGCAGTTGCAGCTTGGGTAATCTGGCGGACGATTTCACGCAGTCTGCTTTGGACCACCGAGGCCTAGGTGACACTTGCTATCTGGGCTGTTGCGATGGAAAGATGGGAACTCCTGCGCTACAGAGCCCTCCAAGGAAGATTATCTGGTGAGGAGGCAGAATTGGCGGCGCTGAGCTAGTGCTGGCGTTCTCAATCCTGACGATTGCCGCTTGTAAATAGTTGTTTATCGAGTCGACAAAGTCTTTGTGTATAATTCTTGGGAGCTGTGCGAGAGCTGACTTGACGCTGCCAATAGCAGTCTAGTAAATTATAAATTAAGCTTTAATTTGCGCCATTCGGCGCTGTTCGGCTTCAGCCACGGCACAGAGATCTAGAGAATCTTCCACTACTGGAAGAGCTCCAGATTTTGCCGTTAATGGCGCATTGGCTTCTGCCTCTTGTTGGAAATGGAGACAAAGAGTGTTGTGGACGTACGGGCCCTCCATTTCGTCTAGGTTCCCGACACAATCTTGTGTGTATTAGAGAGGTTGGATTGGGTAATATGGTAGCGCTTCAGGCTACCTAATGGATATATGAGCGGCTGTATGGAGTGGACAAAATGAGGCTATAGGAGGTTGTCTATGCCTGGATGGCGCCACAATCGTTTATGCTGCGGCTTAGCTACGTGTCGCTTACATTTGTACTTGTAGCGCATACCTCGCACTTCCTCACCTATCAATCTATGGATATTTTGGAGGCGACCAATGTTAGATATAAAGTTTAAGGTTTTAGGTTTACAAAGTTTGGAGTTACCTGTTTCGGACAAAGGTGTTTCGCTTGGGTTATAGCAATAAGAACTCAATATCTTCTGACTAGAGATTTTTCGTTCTAAATCATGAGAAACTTGGTTCATGGGGACAAGTTGGGGATAGATAGAGCAATGCCATTTTCTGAACATACATAATCTAGATAGTGACAGAAAGAGAAAGGGCAGCCCGGAATTAGTTGACACTTTTTAAATTTTACATTATTCAATTTACTCGTAGAGTCTAACATCACTCATAATCCAAACATGACACTCTTTTAGTCGTTTTCTTCTTTGGTTCCAGAAATATTGCGCCCATTTCATTGCACGGCATTTCCAACATGTTCATACACCAACTGTAAGGCCTGCAGCACCTAACTGGCCGGCCTATTCGAGTGCTTCAGAATGGAAGCGATGTCCTTAGATTCAGTCCTGATTTTGGTATCAGGAGAGTCCCGCATGTGGTAGTTTTTAGGCTATTCCCTGCATTTGTATACCCCCAAACTGCCAGTGTTTTGTTAGCTAGGAATGGGAGACAATGATGGGTTAACAGCATCTTGAAGTGTGAATTCCAAGGAAGACTTGTGGTGGTATTACCACTGGGTAGAAGCCGTGAAGTAGGTAAAGGAGGGAGTACACTACCTGAGGCATAGATACTACCGGCCTGTAGGTAGAAAGGAATTATATGTCCATACATATTTATAGACTCAAAAGCGCAATAAACACATACAAACAAACATACCACTGTATCATATTATACAATCTCCATATATTGTTACCCTTACTTCTCAATCTCCTCAATATCCTAACAGGAATGACATCACACGGTATCCAAACATCACTTGAATTGGTATCCATTGTTATAAACCACTAAACTGTTCAGCCAGTACTGCTGGACTAGAGGTGGACTATTACTAGTTTGAGTTCATAATTGTTTCTAGGCAGATCAACTTTAACCTTAGGTGACCAGCGAGGTGGGTTTTGGCTGATCCCTGCTCGGCGGCACGTTCAGCAGGATTAAGTTAGGCCTAAGATCATTCTGTTGTCCCTGCACTCTAGCACGTTATTCCTGCATACTTTAATGCTAGTTGAAAGCTGCGTTCGGAAAGGCACAAGAGACGGCATATATTCATTAATTTCCGCCGTATCTTCAATCCGCCCCACCCACCTATCATCAGGAATAATGCCAAACCATTCAACTCTCTTTCAACCACCACCCATTAATCCCAAACGCGCCGATATAGAAAATGTTTTGGAGCTTACAAACCTTTCAAAGGTCCAATCTGTAAGTTCTGGAGCTTCCTCACTGCTCCTCTCTAGCCTCTGATGGATCGTAGAATCTCTTCACCAACACTTACCCCTTGTGGCACCCACCGGGAGCCCGGGGAATCTATGGTGGAACTGTAATTGCACATTCCCTAGCGGCCTCGCAGCACACCGTCCCTTTAGACTTTGATGTGCACAGTATGCACTGTTCGTTCCTGCTCGCCGGCGACTCGGAAACCCCTATCATGTATGCCGTCGAGCTAATTCGCGATGGGAAATCATACTTAACTAGAGTGGTTCGAGCGACCCAACGGGGAAGGAGCATCTTCATTGCAACTATCTCTTTCATGCGAGACAACGAACGGCCAGAAAACGATGTAGTGCGACACGTTGTGCCTCTACCGACCGGAACAAAGCCCCCAAAAGAGGAAGAGGAGACCGAATTCTCACAAGAATCGGCAAGTCCAATCATAAATTGCGGCGTTGAAATTCAAAATCTTCAAAGTGAAGAGCTTCATACGAAGAGGATGCGACGATGGGTTAAGGCTCGAGGTCGCATTACAGATGCTGGTGGGCACCGGACGCACGCAAACGTGCTAGCCTATATCTCGGACCAAAACTTCATCGGAACTGTAGCTGCGATACATAATCTATGGCGATTTGGCAAACCGTTGGTTGAGGATGTTTCTGGAGGCGACGGTAAAGGGACCTTAGTACGAAAGTTACAGGACTATACAGGGTATGATTCCGATCTACAGAATAGAAGAGCACGGCGGGAAGTAGGAATGATGGTGAGCTTAGACCATAGCATCTACTTCCACGAGCCCAAAAGTTTCAGGGCAGATGAGGTGTGTCACCACAGAATCGATGCTTTTGCAAGTCTGTTAAACATCATATAGTGGATCTTGACGGATATGGAATCTCCCTGGTCTGGCCACACTCGCGGCTTAGCCATACAAAAAATGTATGCAGCTGATGGAAACTTAATCGCTACCTGTATCCAAGAGGTCTGTCGCTCATGTCTAATCATAATAAATAATGCACTGACAATTGAAAAAGGGAGTAGTAAGGTTGAAAAAAACCGAAACATCTAGATCCTCCAAAATCTAGAACACGCCCATCGGATTAGGCTCCTAAACGAAAGATCCAGTGAGATAATCTTAATAGGGTGACAAGTAAAGATTCCCGACAGCTGTAAGGCTATTTCCAATCTTAATTTCGCATACTGCAAGTGTTAACTTAAAACTGCCGAACTAAATCCGTGAAAGGGTTTAGTTATAATAGGCTGGCTGGCTCAAGCTGATGCTAGCGTCATTTAAAAATCATTACTGTATTACTAGCATACAGACAAATTTTCAAATCAAACAACATACCACTACGCTGAGCCTATTATCATTCGTCTAAGGCGATGAGTAATTGAGTAGGAACAGTAAAGAAATGTATAGAACTCCGGAAAAATTACTCCTTATTTCTTATATATAATTTAATGTATATTCAGCTCTCTAGCTATAAATCATGATCAGTGTTATGTACACATGTTGGATGACTCTTTTGATTATAGAGACACTCTTGCTCTAGATTTCATTCCAAATACTACAATGAGGTATGTTAGCTTACACAAACAGTCAACCCTCCTCCGTAAGTACCTATCAAAGGGTCGCCTCAAAACCTATGATAATGCAAGCATGTCTACGACATTCTTGTAAATCAGCGTCGTGAGAAAAGTGGTTGTGTTTTGCCAGGTTTTGACCAACGATCTACAGTCTCGAGTGGAATATGTGTTCAAGCTTTCCAGACTTTACATGGCAGACCGGCCATGACGATGTACCACGGCGCCATCCAACCATGGCGGTATTTGAAGTGTCGTGTGATTAAAATTACCTAGCGGTAATAAGGGTAAGGCGTTTGGAGATCTTATATACCCACTATCAGTAGTTCCATATTCGCGTGTAGATGAGCCTAGCAGTGGAACGTTGGTACGGTCTAGGCTGCAGTATCCCCTAAGAATGCTGAGACTGTAGTAATCATACACGTTTGTTTAACTCTATACTTTATCGAATCTACTTCCAGCCACACTGTTCTATCCATCTAAAGAAATCATAATCTTAAAGTAGCTTATATTTAACCTCTTTGTCGTCAACACCGTCTCAAATACTGCAGACTCTCCATCTCTCTGGGCTTATACTGGTGCTACCGTGCTCCTAAGCGTGGAGACTGAATATGGGTCGAGTAGCATGAGACCGAAACACTAATGCCTCAGCGTCTGTCGAATGCCCAATCTAACAGCTCCTATCCGAAAGCTATCACGAAAGTTTCGCTGCTTATTTCCGATAGCATTTAGAACCTTAACTCAGCAGCTCCGCTTCGAAGATATTATATACACTTGTAAGACTTCCCCTTTCGCAAAGTCTTCACCAACATCTAAGCAGAGGGCACTCCGTCAAGTTGTACGACAAAAAAGTGTCTCTATAATATCCTAAAGCTTCAATAACACCCATTAAACGGCTATCATCGTTTAATATTATATTTTCCTTGGGATAGAGTAGGTCAACAAGTAGAAGAATACGGCGACAAATAGACCGAAGCATGTAACAAAGAAAACCAAGTCGAGATTGGTGATGGTGAAATAGAGCTATCATACCGAACGCTCTGGTATGTAAGTCTTTTGAATGGATACACTTGTTAGGCATATTGCTGGTGGAGCGAAATCAGTTAATGGAACACAATGTTAAATTGAAAAACTGTTGGTCAAAGACAATTATTCTTGCACCTGAACATAATGGAGTTATGATATGATATTATTATTATCGTGACCGGGTACTACCCCAGCACCCAGAGGGCATGGCACGTGTAGTCTTGATCTGCAGGACTCTTCTCTACCTATAAATTTTGATACATAGAAACTAGGAACGCAAAACAAAAATAACAAATTAAATCACCATTTCCAAGGTGTTAATGCCCTGCACTGCACCTTAATTCTCGTACCACGCCAATCGGTCCCTAGAAGCATTACAGTTGATCTTTTAACCTCCTGTTTATGATTCATTCTTGCTGTAACATTTTGTTACTGTTAAAAAGCGCCAGAATTTCGGCCATCCTTCTTGCCCTATCATATCTCTTATCATGGGACGTAGTTCCTTCGTTTCCGTCCGCCATTTCTGAATAGATAGGCAACATTCTGCAAAATGCCATGGCCATTTTTCTTGGCCACATTTGCAGAGCATTTCTACATTCTGGTGTTGGAACCGTCTGTGATAGCCGGCGAACTCACCATACCCAGTCCTTGCTGCGTTGAGGCGGTGATATGCCCATCGAGGTAGAGCTAGCTCCGAAGGGCGTTTTCTTCGCATCAGTAGGTCCAGATCTTCATACCTATCCCTTCTGTTCTTATGCCACCAATCTTCCACCAGTTTCTGTACCCGGATTTTTACTTGGCGTTTGAGAGCTGAAAACGTCAGGACTTCGTGAGCTTCCTCCCAGATGATCTTAGGTCTCGGTAAACTCCCTTCCCTATTCTTTGCTGCAAGTGCTGCCTTTGCTATGGCGTCGGCCCATTCGTTGCCTAGTATGCCGCTATATCCCGGGACCCAGCAGACCTCTATGGCTGGTCGGGTCTTGCATAATTCCCAAAAATTCACTACCTCTACTTGCGAGGAATTTGTTCTGCCTGTTTCAAGGGCTCTAATCGCCTCATGATTGTCGAGGAATACCTTGATGTCTATACTCCCTTCAATTTTTAATGCCGCCTCTAGACCTCGAACTGCCCCCACGATTTCCGCATCAAAAATATCAACCCCAAGAAGGAAATTACCACCGCTCGCTGTGAGTTCTCTATCCGTATAGATGGCGTAGCCATAGGCTGAGTATGCTGGGCCGGTAGGTGACCCATCAGAGTAGATACACAGCGTGCCTGCGGGAAGATTTCTAAGCCACAGCTTAATCTTCTTCGCCTTTTCTTCCTTGTCACATTTGACCCCGGCTGTAGCAATCGCGGTCCGCGGTTTATAAAGCTGCCCAGGACCTTCTAATTCTGGTAGGTTGGGGCTCCAATCCTGAAAGCGTGTTAAGTATCGCTCTGGAACCCTAAAGGCACGTCCTTTCTGTCCCTCTCGCAGTTGGAGTCGCTTGGTTGCCCATTTGGGTGTCTCAACTGCCCTTGACGCGAGTGGATGATAGCTATCAAGTCGGCGGATTCTGGCCGCACTTCGTAGCTGTCCCTGCTGGAGCATTATTTCTGCAGGTAAGATCCCTGATTCTCGGTGCAGAACTATATTTGGTGTGGTCCGCCACACTGGGAGTGCAGCTCGAATTGCAGTCAAAATAGTCCTATCTAGTCGCTGGAGGTGCCATCCGACACCCGTACTTACTTTTTTGTCTCGTTTGGTCGTGATACGGGTCGGTCCAGGCCACCAGGCTTCAGCGCCATAAGATGCCGTGCTCACTACACATGCATTCACCGCATGAATTAGTGGCCCCGGAGTCGCACCTCGATGAACCCTGTTTACGCTGTGTATGAAGTGGGACAGTCGCTGTGCCTTACTTCACCATTCCTGAACGTGGCGTCTGAATGATAGTTGAGAATCAAGCCAAACTCCGAGCCATCGGATATGCGGAGAAGATATAATAAGCTGTTGTTGGAATGAAATAATAATTGTTATACTTATAAAGACTTAACAAAATTACAATACACATATCCAGTCATATACACACCATTCATAGTCCACGAGTGATCCAGCTCTGTAGAGCCAACACCAATGTCTTCTACTCGTGTCATTTACTCGTGTCCTAACAGTCTTTGATGGTCTAACGGTTATGATTTCCGCTTGTCAATACACACCGCGGGAGACCGGGGTTCGACTCCCCGTCAGAGAGAAAACATTTTGTCCTTCATAGTCATAGACTCAGTAGGGACATAAATAAAATTCTATTCTGTTCTATTTTTACTCGTGTCCTAAAAGGAGCGAGTGATCTGTCTTTTTTTATTTTTTATATAATTATTTAACGTCGTGCTAGCTCACAACACAACCTTAAGGTCTCATGTTGGCCAGTTCAGTCTACATAAACTACCCGACGTGCCGATACCTTTCAATAAGCCCGACATGTTATAAATGGGCCAAGGCCTACCTGCCATGCACCCCGAACTATCGAAAGAAGCCAAAAGTACTCTCGAGCTGAGACTTTTGTATTCTAATACAGTAGAGAAGATAGTTATATATATGAAAAGGAAAGTTATCCATCACCTAGACCAGAAGTCTTCTAAATTTAGCTCTAGCAAATACAGGCCAAGTGCATATAATTTGGGGTACTAGTTAGTCTTGTTGTTGCATGCTTCAAAAAAGCTCGTTTCATGAAGCCATTTACTAAAAGCTACGGCTCCTTCATGTGAGCCTAGGATCCAGCTAATTCCCGTCGGTGGGTGTTTATTTCCGCTGCAAAGGCGGGACCGACTCCGATTGAGTCGACAAAAGAAGAAGTGCTCGAGCGAATTTTCTAGCCCGCAAGCGTAGATTAAAAGAGCGTCCGAGTGCTGAAAGCGGCGGTGGTAGTCAGGAGTGATCTGTCTTCCCGCCTCTTGTTTAATATCCGAAGGCCACCATCACGTGACCTTGATCTTCCATAACACAACATGTCATGCAGACTTCCTGCCCAATTGGTGACCACTAACAGTCAGGTAAATATGTGACCCATGAGTTATTTACCCCGTAATAATAATGTATATATTAAGTCTCCACAGCTGTTCTCCAACTCTAACCGTTAAGTTGGATGAGTCGAGTTTCTTCATAGGTCCTCCCCCGATGACCAGGAGCTCAGACTTCGAAGGGTCAAATCTAATCATATGTAACGAAGCTAGTTGGACTATCCTGTCTACTTCGACCTTGGCAGTGTCAACTGTTTCACTAGGACTTTTACTGACTCGAACAATAGCAATATTGTCTGCATATCTGAATCTACAGTTTGGAGTGCCATACTCGAGTAGAATCGAGATGTATTACATGAATAGAAGTGGCGCAAGTGGTGATCCTTTTGGGACACCGCACTCAACACTTTTCTCATCTGTTACGCCTTTTTAATATCTTACCAGGACTTTTCGTCTTTTAAGAAACGATTCT